CCACTGGACAGGAGAGGATACTGGAGGTGGGGGTGGGGGTGGGGGGGCTCTCCCCTCATCCTCCCCATCACTCGCTGGGAAGCAAGAACAAAGCACCAGGTCAATGGACAGGATATTTCGGGTGTTAAAGCCTAACGAGCTGAAGACTGCCTGGAACAAGCCTGTACAGTCTAACAAAATAAGATTTATTGACTCAAGAGAGGGAGGAAATTCCACAGGAACGGTTGGAATGTGATGGAGGAGAAGGGTAAGAAAAGCTCTTTTGTAAAGAGTTGTGTGCCAACCGAAGGATTTTGAGGAAGTGGGGAACAATCCTGGAATGATGGCCGTTTCTGAGGTAAGAATAGGAGAGGCAGGGATTAACTGGACACTGAGGGCTATCAGGGAAGCGAGGGTAATTTAGCAATTGGGTTACCCCAGTAATAAAATAAAAATAGCAAGGCGGGCCCAGAGCATCATTGGTGAGAAAGCTGTAGTGTTTCCACGAGGGAGTCATTACGGCATTTTACAACTGCCGCATGACCTGGGCAGAAATAATGTTTTGTATTAACTATACAGATGGCTTTATCTGCCTTTTTTCTCCCAATCTGATTAATGGCAGGGCTGCTTTTTCTCTTTTCAATTCGACCTGATTTTCACTCTTTCACAGTAGAAACAAATGTTCCCAAGTCCAGAAAAAAATGAAAATTACATTTCATGGAACAAAGAGGAAGCACAAACTCATCTTTAGATATATGTGTGTGTGTGTATCATATCATATATATATGTATGAATTCTCCCCTTTTTCTCTCCAATCCTGAAGACCTGCAGGTTGGAGGACGGAGACTGGAATGTCGACGCATTGAGCCTTTCCGGAGCTCAGCCCGGCCAGGCTGAGGACACACCCCCGCTATCACACTTGCTCCCACCAGCCGCCACACACATAACCCGAGGAAGCAAGAGGGAGCCTGGGGTGAAGCTGACCCTCCGCGGTATCAGAGAGAATGGACAGAGGACAAAGGCCAGAGCCGGAATCTGTCTCCGAGTTCAGGAGAGCTGCCTTGGGAGGGAGCTCTGGTTAAGCGGTGGTTTTGGGAGCTGTTGTTCTTTTCAAGGCTTCGCCTTTTTGTTAGGGGCCTTCACTGTGGGGTTCATAAATTTAACTCGGAGCCATTCTGGGCCGCTTCATCTGCGCGGCCCTGAAGCGGGAGGGCAGAGGACGCATCAGGGCACCCAGTGTCCAGTCAGCGTCACAAGCTACAGTCCCTGCAGCCCGGTACACACAGAGGCCCGCGCCGCCCCCGCGCCGCCCCCGCGCCCATTTCCTCCATGCACGCGACCAACTCACCTCTCCGAGCCGACACCAGCGAGGAAGCCGGAAGGAAACTAGGTGCAGGGACATCTGGGACATGTAGTCCCCGGTAGGGAGGGCCTGGTCATCGCCCCAGAGGGTTGCGCGGAATGCGCAAGCGCAGGCGCTGGCGCTGGCGCTCGGGGCCTGAGCGCGCGGCGGCCCTCCGGGCTTGGCGATGGGCGGGCGGGGAATGGCTTCCAGCCTGCCGCGGGCTGAACGTGGCACGCTCTGCGATCTCGGGTTTGTGTTGTGGTTGAGGAATCCCTAATAGAGCTTAGAGAGAAGTCTTGGCACCAGCGAGCGCTTAATATATGTACTAGGCACATGGCAAGTGCTCAGTATATATACCCAAGCAGGACATGGGTATACATCAGGTCTCAATATCCCCATAACCCTAGCAGACCTGGACACACGGAGGTTGCTCGTGCTCTCGCTCCCTCTCTCCCTCCTCTCTTAGGATTTTCTTCCTTCCTCTTGCGCTTGTGGAAGTATAGTTCTATTTAAAAAAAAAAAATCTATTAAGGTGGTTGATATTGTCGTTCAGAAGTTCTTTATCCTGATTTTTAAAAATCTAGATCTTGTAATTACTGAGAGGTGTGTCTATTTCTATTTTCCTTTTAGTTCTACCAGGTTCTGCTTCAGGTATTTTCAAGCTCTGTTAAGTACAAGCATTTAACGTTGTCTTCCTGAGGAGGAGGACTGAAAAGTGAACATTAGAAGGAGTGTTTTCAGAAATCTCTCAGATGTCTCCTGATTGGTCCTGCCCTGAGTTCGTTCAGGAAGGAAACAGGATAAGCCCACCAGGAGCCACACTGCAGCATACTCCCCATCTTGACTTTTTAATATATTAGTTAGTAGATGGAAGAATTTTTCTTCTCTCAAGAATATCAGACTTTAGAAATTATTTGAAAATATCTAGGCTAATCTTAAGCCTCATTTTGCGAACAGTAGAATGTATATGAAGAAGGAGATACATGAAAACTATGATTGGGGATTTATCTATTTCTGCCTTTAGTTAGTTCAGTTTTTGCTTCATGTATTTTGAAGTTCTGTTACTATAGAATATGCACATTTAAGATTGTGTCTTCCCAATGAATTGACCCTTCTGTTATGAAACATTTCTCTCTCTTGTCTTGACATCTGTTTTGTCTGATATTAGTACAGTCACTCAAGTTTCCTCGTGCTTACTGTGTGCACGGTATATCTTGTTCCACCTTTCTTCCTTGAACTCGTATGTGATTCTATTTAATATACATTTCTAGTAGACAGCATGTAGTTTGGGTTTCACATTTTTAATCCAGTGTGGCAGTCTCTGGCTTTTCATTGAAATATTTAATCAATTTATATTGATGTTATTATTAATTTGGTTGGATTTGTGTTTACTATTTTGTTGATTTCTATTTGCCACATTAAAATTTAACAACTTCTCCTTTCCTGCCTTTTTTGGGGGTAGGTGTTCAATTTTTTCTGATACATTTGAATTCTCCTGTTGGTTCTTCACCTACACCTCTATGGATCTCGTCAGAGGTTGCCCTAGGGATTAGATATATATTCTTTATTTAACATAGTCTACCCTTGAATTAATGGAGTTAATATTGTACCACTTCATGTAAAATATAAGAATCTGTAACAATATCATTTCATTTGCATTTCCTATTCTTTGCCCTACTATTGTCACATCTATTATATCAGCTACATACCTTATAAAACCATACCGTGTTACATTATTTTGCTTTAAATAGTTATGTTTTAATAACATTTAGAAAAGAAATCAAATTTTATAATTACCCACGTATTTTCCATTTCTGATGCTCTTTTCTTGCTGTTGGTCTTTTCTTCCCGTGTCATCTAATATCAGTTCCCTTCAACCTGAACAACTTCCTTTAGCGTACTGTAGTTGTGCTGGTTATGATCTAAATTTTCATTTATCTGAAAATATCTTCATTGTAAAAGGATATTTTTCTCTGGAGATAGAATTCTAGAATTCACATTTTTTTTAGTACTTTAAAGATGTTATTCCATTGTCTTTTGGCTTTGGTTGTTTCTGATTAAGTCAACATTATTCATGTTTTGGCTTCCCAATATGTTATGTATATTTTTTTTTGTATCTGATTACAGGATTTTCTGTTTATCAGAAATGAGGGATTTGGATCATAGTTTTTGTTCTACAACACTGTATCAATCCTCTCATTCTAGGGCTCTGTTTACAAGCAGTAGGTCACTTAATATTGTTCCATAAAAATCTTTTTTCCTTTTTCCAATCTTTTTCTTTTTTGTACTTCAGAGTAGATAATTATTATTGATCTATCATGGAGAGCACTGACCATTTATTTCTTCTGATGCCTCCCATCTGTTCTTATACTCATTCAGTGAAATGTTTGTTTCAGTTTTTTCAGTTATAAAACTCTCATCCCCACTTATTTTTTATCCTTTCCATTTTCTGCTGAATTTCCTCTCTATTAATTCATTATGGCTATATTTTCCATTAAGGCAGTAAACATTTATACTACCTCCTAATTAATTCCAATATCTGGGTCATCTCAAGTTCTGTTTCCATTGGTTGCTTTTTTTCTCCTTATGGATCACATTTTCCTGCTTTTTTTTTTTTTTTGAATGCCTAGTCATTTTTTTAATTGTATGTGGTATACTGTGGGTGCTATGTTGTTGAGAGTTTATATTTTGTTATCTTACTTTAAAGAGTACTAATTTTTTTTTTTTTTAGCAGCCAGTTAATATACAGGCAGATCAGTTTAATCTCTTCAAGGCCTATTTTAAAGCTTTCTTCCCTTAGATCTACAGTAGCCTTTGCTATAGGGCTAGCATAACCCTACCCTCGAGTTGTGGCCTTTTTAGGGCGTCAGCTGACTACCAGGATATTCAGCAGTGTCTGTCCACTCTGAATGTTTGGAATTTTCTTTCTCCCAACACTGTATGACTTCTAGAATCTTTGTTCAGGTCTTAGCTCCCCAAAGCTGGTCTCTGCTGGGCTTTATGGAGTCTCTCCCTGTATGTGCACAGCTTAGTATTAATTAAAAATTTAAGGAGATCCCTATGCGAGGAGTTATGCGGCTCCTTCTTTGCAGAAAACTGTTGTCTTGACCCTACCCTACGAATTCCAGCCACTTAGCATCCCCAGACTCTATTCTTAGCCTCTACAGCCCAGTGAGACTCTGAGTTTACTTGAGTTATACCACTGCATATCATATTCCGGACAGTAGCCCTAGGCAGAAAGCAGAGACAATCATGGGCTTCATGTTCTTCTCTTCTATCAGTGATCACAGTCCTGCTGCCTGTTGTCCAGTGTTTGAAAACCATTGCCTCATATTTTGCCCAGTAAACTAATGATTGTTTTTGGCAAGAAAACCAGTCTGATATCAGTTACTCCATCATGGTCAGGAGCTAATTTAAATGTTTTAATCCCTGGAATCCACACCTCTCTTGGATTTCTAGTTCACTAGGAGTGTTGGTTGGAGACCGAACCACCATCCTGTGCTAGTTCACAATCTTAAGCAAGTGAATTAATTAAGTTCTTAGCATATTTGACCTGTCTAGCATTTAGGAATACACTGCTTTTATTACAGTGCTTATGATGTACTTGACTGGATTCAAGAAAAAGAATCTGCAGTTTCATGCATCTCAGTGGAAAACTGAAACCATCCTGCAATGATTGTATTTTACTTTTGTTAATTTAAGATAGCTTCATTTTTCTTTTATTGTAATGATATAATTAGGCTTTTGGTACCACCCTGTCTTTAGGTGTTACTTTTAAAATGTTAATGCTTTCTTGTAGTCACATTTAACTGAAACAAAAGTCCTTCAAAATCTATTCACCAAATACTTATCACACCATAGGTCAGGCAATATTATGCATCAGGTATATTAATTAATAAGTAAAATCACACAATAAAACCAGTTACTACCCTCAATGAGCTCACAGCCAAGAACTGAAAAATGACTATTTTGATATAATGTGTTAAGTACAAAATTGGACTGACAAGACTGACTTGATCAGGACTCTTGTACTCACCATTTCATCAGCAGCATCTCACCCAGTTCCTGGAAAATATCAAGTACTTAAATGTATGAAAAATGAACACATGGAGACACTAGGGTGTAAAAATCTCCTTTTAAGATTTGAGTATATAGTATAACCAACTATTGGGTGAGAATGTTTACATAGACAATTCAGATATCAGTTTGTTCCACTGAGTACAGCATATATTTCTTTTTTTTTTTCAGCAGAGATTTCTTGATTACTTTTGTAACACTGGTAGATTCTGGGCATAAAAATTACAGAAGGAGATTATACTCGTATAGCATTAAGTGCAATAATCAAGTTAAGTACAGGATGCAAGAGAATTCAAATGATGGATAAATGGCTTCTAGACCTTATGTTTGAACTGAATCTTAAAGGACAAGTATGATTTTATTTCAAGAGACATATATATTCCAACCAAAACTATGGAGTTATATAAAAAGATAATGTTTGGAGACCTCATATTACTGATTTCAAGACTTCTATAATGTCACAGCAATCAAAACAGCATGGTATCAGTAAAAGACTACATACAATATCGGTGGAACAGAGGAGAGAGCCCAGCAATAGACCCACACAAACAGAGTCAATTAATCTTTGACAAAGGAGTAAAGGAAATTCAATGGAGAAAGGATAACCTTTTCAACAAATGGTGCAGAACAACTGGATGCCCATATACAATAAGAACAAAAAGCAAAATAACACAAACCCTTAACACAGACCTTACACTTTACACAGAAATAAACTAAAAATGGATCATAGCCCTAAGCATGTAACACAAAACTATGAAACTTTAAGAAAAAAAAAATAAGAGAAAATCTTTGGGACTTTGGGATGGTTGACGAGTTTTTATATACAACAAAGCATAATCAGTTAAAGTTAAAGAAAAAAATCAGTCAGTTAGACCTTACTGAAAATAAAAAACCACTTGGGTGAAAGACACAAAGAGAATGAAAAAACAAGCCATAGACTGGAAGAAAACATTTGCAAATACTTATCTAATGAAAGATTTGTATGCAGAATATATTTTTTAAAATCTTAAAACTCAACAATAAGAAAATAACCCATTTTAAAAATTGGCAAAAGCTTTGAGCATACACCTCACCAAAGAAGATCTACAGATGGCAAATAAGTATATGAAAATATTCTCAACATCATTTGTCATTGGGGAATTGCTAATTAAAACAGCGGTGAGATATCACTACTATCTTAGTCTGGGCTGCTACAACAAGTTAGGATAGACTGGGTGGCTTAAACAACAAGTATTTATTTCTCACAGTTCTGGAGGCTAGCTGGCAGATCAAGATCAAGGCACAAGCAGCTTCGGTATTTGGTGAAAGCTGGCTTCCTGGTTTGCAGATGGTCATCTTGTCTCATCTTTACATGACAGAGAGCAGAGAGAGGAAAAGCAAGCTCCTGTCTCACATGGGTACTAGTCTGAAAAAGGCTACATACTCTATGATTCCATTTATATGACATTCTGAAAAAGGCAAACTATAAAGACATAAAACAGTTCACTGATTATCAGAGGGTTAGGGATTTGGGAGAGTTGAACATGTGAAGCACAGGGAGTTTTTTAGAGTGGTGAAAACTATTCTGCATGTTACTGCAGTAGTGGATATATAACACTATGTGTTTGTCTAAATCCACAGATCATCACAGCAAAATAGTGAACTTTAATGCTTACATGTTAAAAAAATTCATTTAGGAAGTTGATACTGAGGGATCTTAGGATGAGATTTAGACAATGACAAAAGAATCCAACTGTATTAAAAATGTATGATAAACCTCACTGAAGAGTATGGGTGGGGGGAAAGAGGCTG